GGGCTTCTTCTGTTTGAGCTGAGGAAGAGGAGAGGCAGGAGGAGGAAGAGGAGGAAGAGGGCTGATGTGTGACTGAATGCTACAATGGCCTGTAGATCCTGTCCATAGAGGAGCTACTTAGTGGAAGAGAGATAACCAACAGGTGAGAAGTCATCCTGCACAGATTACATGAAGGCTTGAGAAACCTCAGTGTATATTATCTAATAATCACTAAGTCGTGTTTATCAAACAATTGACTGTTTAGTCTATTCCATGTCAGAAATGAGTTAAAATGCTCAGTATCCTGGAAGACAAGTTAACATCATCTGGACATCAAGTTTGATTAAAAAAAAAAAAAATATATATATATAAATGCACTTAAGGATGTCAAACCAACATTGCTGCTTGAAAAATAATGTAAATGATTCATCATTAATCAACTAAATCCCCTTATCAACTAGTAATTTCTGCAATAACAATGTCCAAATAGCAATACAGTTTCAACATTAATTGATCATTTATTATATTCTAGCAATAATATCTCTTGGTTTTGGACAATTGGATAAACAAGGCAGTTTAACCCTCCTGTTGTCTTCGGGTCAAATCTGACCGATTTACCACATTCATCAATCATAACTTTTTAGTTTGACATTCGATTGCATTAAGGCTTTATGATATCCTTCACAGTATGAACTCATACAATTGCTGATCACCACTTTCATTGCATTTTGGATGATTTAGTCAACCTTGTAACACCCATGGTGTTCCCAGTCAAAAATTACCGCCATAAAAAAAAGGAATTAGTAACCATCCAGATCAGATAAAACACACACACAAATACACCTACTCTAGATGTGTCCCCCCCCCCCCCTTATGTGCCCATCCCCCCATGTGAATCACACCTGGCACTCACACACAGAAACATTTGATACATTTCCCGCTCTTATGTGCCCATCCCCCACATGGATCACACCTGGCACAGCAATACATGTTCAGTGTCTGTTCTTTGTATATTTACTGCAGTTTTTCATGTATACCAGTAGGCTGATACAATATGTACAGTTTGAAATAGTGTTAAATGAAATTTGGTGATGATTAATGGTTTTTGTGTTAATGTAATAGCAGTTAAAACAGGACCGGTCAAATTTGACCCCGAACACCAAAGTAAGGGGGGACGGGGACGAAGACAATAGGAGGGTTAAGGAAGTATCCTTAGGCTATACGAAAGTGATGATGATTTTCTTCATAAAGACAATTATGTATGGGATGATAAATTACACAAAATAACCAGCTTCATGTTACTTTGTTAATAGTCATGTACCATAAAGTCAACTGTAGTAATTATCTGCTGCCAGGAGAAAATTGGAAGAGTTAATCCTAATAGGCAAGGCAAGGCAAGGCAAGGCAAGGCAAGGCAAGGCAAGGCAAGGCAAGGCAAGGCAAGGCAAGGCAAGGCAAGGCAAGGCAAGGCAAGGCAAGGCAAGGCAAGGCAAGGCAAGGCAAGGCAAGGCAAGGCAAGGCAAGGCAAGGCAAGGCAAGGCAAGGCAAGGCCAGGCAAGGCAAGGCAAGGCAAGGCAAGGCAAGGCAAGGCAAGGCAAGGCCAGGCAAGGCCAGGCAAGGCCAAGGCAAGGCAAGGCAAGGCAAGGCAAGGCAAGGCAAGGCAAGGCAAGTTAAGTTTATTTATATAGCACTTTTCAACACAAGGCAATTCAAAGTGCTTTACAAAAAATGAAAGAGATTAAGAAAATGGCATTTAAAATCAGTCATTAAAAAGAAAAGCTAATAAAATAACATTAAAAGAAAAAAATACATGGCAGTCAATTAAACATTAAAAGAAAAAAAAGTACATGGATAAAAGTTACAGTGCAGTCTAAGATATGAATAGTTCAATTAAAAGCAGCGACAAAAAGAAAAGTCTTCAGCCTGGATTTAAAAGTAGTCAGAGTTGCAGCGGACCTGCAGGTTTCTGGGAGTTTGTTCCAGATATTTGGAGCATAATAACTGAACGCTGCTTTACCATGTTTAGTTTCTGACTCTGGGGACAGAAAGCTGACCAGTCCCTGAAGACCTGAGAGATCTGGATGGTTCATAATTTAGCAGGAGGTCAGAAATGTATTTTGGGCCTAAACCATTCAGTGCTTTATAAACCAGCAGCAGTATTTTGAAATCTATTCTTTGACACACAGGAAGCCAGTGTAAAGACTTCAGAACTGGAGTGATGTGATCCACTTTCTTAGTGTTAGTGAGGACTCGAGCAGCAGCGTTCTGAATTAGCTGCAGCTTTCTAATAGATTTTTTAGTGAGACCTGTGAAGACACCATTGCAGTAGTCGAGTCTACTGAAGATAAAAGCATGGACAAGTTTTTCCAAATCCTGCTGTGACATTAGTCTTTTAATCCTAGATATATTCTTTAGGTGATAGTAGGCTGATTTAGTAACTGTTTTAATGTGACTGTTGAAACTCAGGTCAGAGTCCATGACTACACCTAGATTTTCTGGCTTTATCTGTTGTTTTGAACATTGCACACTGAAGCTCAGTGCTAACTTTTATACGTTCTGACTTGGCTCCAAAAACCATTACCTCAGTTTTATCTTTGTTTAATTGGAGAAAGTTCTGACACATCCAGTCATTGATTTGTTCAATGCACTTACTCAGTGTTTGAATTGGAGCATAGTCTCCTGGTGAAATTGTCACGTAAATGTGTGTGTCATCTGCATAGCTATGGTAACTTATTTTGTTGTTCTTCATTATCTGAGCCAGTGGTAGCATGTAGATGTTAAAGAGAAGAGGCCCCAAGATGGAGCCTTGAGGAACCCCACATGTCATATTTGTCAACTCAGATGTGTATTTACCTATAGAAACAAAGTTGTTTCTGTCCTTTAAGTAGGATTCAAACCAATTCAGAACTGTTTCCGAAAGTCCCACCCAGTTTTCCAGTCAGTCTAGTAATATGCTGTGGTCAACAGTGTCAAACGCAGCACTGAGATCTAATAATACTAACACTGAAGTTCTGCCACTGTCTGTGTTTAAGTGGATGTCATTAAAGACCTTTACAAGAGCAGTCTCAGTGCTGTGGTTTGGACGAAAGCCTGACTGGAACACATCAAAACAGTTATTTAAATGCAAGAAATTACTCAACTGTTGAAAAACAACTTTTTCAATGATTTTACCTAGAAATGGCAGGTTTGATATGGGCCTGTAATTGTTCATTACAGAAGCATCTAGATTATTCTTTTTTAAGAGCGGTTTAATGACTGCAGTTTTCAGGGCCTGTGGAAAAATACCTGAGTGAAGAGATTTGTTTACTATATGAAGTAGATCTGAGGCCATGCAAGGCAAAACATCTTTGAAAAATCCTGTTGGAATAATATCAAGGCAGCAGGACGAGGATTTCAGAAGTTGAATAATGTCCTCTAGGTTTTTATCATTAATCTGATGGAATTGTGTCATGATGTCTGAATTGATGTTAAGTGGAGATAGGGACAACACATTTGCTGTTCCTGATGCAGAGGCACTGACTGCTTGTCTGATTTTCTGAATTTTGTCAGTGAAAAAGGAGGCAAAATCATTGCACGCCCTGGTGGATAGAAATTCAGAGGCTACTGACACTGGGGGGTTAGTTAGTCTGTCGACGGTAGCAAACAAGGCACGTGCGTTGTTTTTGTTTTTGGTAATGATGTCAGAGAAGAACGATTGTCGTGCGTTTTTCAATTCCAAATTATAAAGGCCAAGTCTCTCTTTATAGATTTCAAAGTGAACCTGGAGATTTGTTTTTCGCCACCTGCGTTCAGCTTTTCGACATTCTCTTTTTTATGTTTTCACGGTCATGGCCTTTCTCCATGGAGATATTTTCTTGACAGACACTTCCTTTAACCTAGTTGGAGCAATGGCATCTATAACATTTTTAATTTTTGAATTAAAATGATCTACTAGCTCATTTACTGAGATGTTTGGCAGGGGCAAGTGTGGAAGAGAAATTCTGAGTAAACATTTCCCTAGTATTTTCAGTTAAATATCGCTTTGTGGTTACCTCTTTTTTGAACATTTTTGTGAACCAGAAATAGAGCTCTCAAAGAAAACACAGGAATGGTCAGAGAGTGCAACATCAGTCCACCACAACCTTAGAGATATTCACACCCTTTGAGATAATTAAGTCCAGAGTGTGCCCCTTATTGTGCGTGGGCTCCGTCACATGCTGAGTCAGTCCATAGCTATCAAGAACACAAAACAGTTCTTTAGCCCCTCTGTCCTAGGGGTTGTCAACATGGATGTTAAAATCACCAACAATGACTAGACGGTCAAAGTCAATACACACTATAGACAGCAGTTCAGTAAAGTCATCAAAAAAGCTTGCACAGTATTTGGGTGGTCTATAGATATTTAGGAACAGAGCTCGAGAGGAGCATTTCAGCCGAAGGGCCACATATTCAAAAGAATCAAAGTTTCCATACGATGTCTTCCTGCATTGAAGGGAATCATTGAACAGAATAGCAACTCCACCCCCTTTCTTATGCATTCTTTCCTGACTCATAAAACTAAAGTTGGGAGGGGTTGATTCGATAAGAACAGCTGCACTGTTATTTTGTTCAATCCAAGTTTCTGTTAAAAACATAAAATCGAGATTGTGCTCAGTGATAAAATCATTGATTAAAAATGTTTTTCCTGCCAAAGAACCTGACATTTAATAAAGCTAGTTTAAGTTTGTTAAACACACTATCAGTCATGTTTTTTGTAACAAGCTGTGGCTGACATGGAATCACTGCTAAATTAGATACACTCACACAAACGTTTGAGCGCTTCCTGTTTCTATGATTCACCGCTCTTAATCTATTACCTATCAACACAGATATCGGCAAAGCTACTGGCAGGCAGGGCCCCGACATGTCCTGGAAAGAGTTGAGAGTGCCATACGCCCTTGAGCCTGGACCCATCACATATCAGTAAGAGTTTGTTGTGTTTTGTACACACACATCCTTATCAGGCTTCGGAGACTGCAGATGCCCCCTCGAAGGGAGGGGAGGTGGTCGACGTAGGCACGGTGATGGAGATAGGCCTACCAATGCTTGTAGCATACTGTAGTGGTACTGCTAGTGAGTTATACCCACATTATATGTTGAAAGAATACATTTCTCTGTATCATGTTCTCCTTTGCCCTTTGCCAGCTCGCCTTTCCTTTCTTTGAAAAGCAATATTTGTTGTTACTGTGCTCTTCTGCCTCTTGGCTTCTTCTCTTTGTTTTTCCACCAAGGGGTTGGGTCTCACTAACCTCTTCCTCTTCTTCTCCCCTCTTTTCCCCTCTCCCAGGATGAAAGTGTGGAGGAGGTCAGCTTGGCCTGTGCAGGTGGCCTTCCTCGTTGCCTTGGTGATGCTCTGCGTTGACCCAGTGTCCGCCGGCAGCCGTAACCATCGGGGACAGACAGGTACACTCAGGTCTTGATCTGAACCCTTCTTCCAACACCTCCAGAGGTTAATTACACTGTCACCGTGAAGTTACAGGACATGTTCCCGAGTCACACCCATCCTGGAAGATGGAGGAGGAGGAGGAGAGAGGGGGGGGGGGGCACAGTGTGACACAATGAAACGAGACCTCATTTGATGCAAAACACACCCCTGTTTTGAATGATCGAGCCCGTTTAGATACAAATGGCACTTAAGCTGTCAGCGGCTGTCAACACAAATAGATCTCTGTGGGTGTGATCGGATCTCCTCGGAGTGCTCGCGGACATCCAACAGTGCTCCAGCGGCCTCATTCATTGTTAGTGGTTTAGAGTTGCTATGAGATAGGGTGTGTGTCTCATGAAGAAGAGGCCATGCAGGCTCATGACTTCTAATCCTCAGGCTCCTAATTGCCCTCTACATTATTATGCATAGCTCTGCTGTACGCCCGTTAACCAAAACACCACTTCACTTATTTCCCCGGGAAAAAAAAGATACTTCTATAACCAGCACTGACTTAATTTAGGCCCGCAAGCTAAATCTTTTCTCTATCCTTAATTTCCATATGTCATGGAGAGAGGCCTCCACCCAACCAAAAAATGACCAACACCATCCTATTAAAATTCCATCGGGGCTGGCTGCAGGGCCAGTTGTGCTGAATCGCTGAACTTGCGCCTCGAATTCTTCGACGACAACCTCCCAAGTCACCTCCTCCTTGCACTTAATTATGACAATTTTCTTAATTAGCTTTCGGTCTCTTTACTCGCTCACTGCTCATGTATTGCAAGGTGACCTTTGTGTGCCACAGAAATGCTACCAGCATCCAGTCTGTGGGGCTACTGAGGGTGTTAGTTTCCTTTTGACGGAGATGAGGCAGCCTGCTTACGGCAGGGACACTACTAATTGCAGGTCTTGTGTATTTTGAAGGTCAGCACGGGTGGCCGCCCCCTTCTTATTTCACTCTGGCACGATGACTCACTCCCAAAGCAACTGCTGCTTTTTATTAGAGAGTTTTATTCTAATTGGCGAAAGTTTAGGACTTGTGAATACCAATACAGAGGGTTGAGGCTGTGAAATAATTGGCTGTATGCTATGACTGCTAGAAACGTTTTCTGTGTTTTCTACTTAAGTGTTGTTATTGCTGCTCTGCTGTCAGGTCAGTGAGGCATTTGTTTGATTTATTTCTGGTGATGTACCATGTGCTGCCACATGGTGGCTCTAGAGGTCAAACAATGCTCTTCTAGAAATAAGTATAATTTTTCAATGTGAGTCTCATTTCCCATTCTCTGACGGCAGTGGTTCTCAAATGGGGGGTACACAGACGCCTAGGGGTACGTTGGAGTACTGCATGGGGGTACGTGAGATTATTTTTAGTGTTAATGAAAAAAAAAAATAGCAATTTTAGGAAATGTAACGAAGTTTGAGCAGTGTGGGTTTTATATGAACAGAGTTACACATATTTCAAAACGCGAAGTGTAATAACTGCAGGTGCCTCCCTGTCACTGAGAATAACAAAGATCCTCAGTGAAGCACAAGCCCATGTTTCTCACTACATTGTAAGTACAACTTATTAAAAAGATCAGTTAAATGCAACTAATGTCGTCTTAGTGTTATGGCATGATGTTAAAATTGGTTTGCCATGAATTTAGTGATGGATTGTAAACATTTGAAATGTAGCATTTAAGTATTTCTCAGTTACAAGGTTGTTGTTTTAATAAATCAGACACTGATGGTGCAGCGCTGTACTGTACCTCTTTATATAGGCATTTATTCCCTAACAAATTGTTTTTGTGCTGATCAGGGGGTACATGGCCGAATTTTTTTTTCAAAGGGGGTACATTATTGAAAAAAGTTTGAGAATCACTGCTCTGAGGCATACAGGAAGTCACCTAAAAACAATCTATAATGGGAATGGACTGAAGGAATGTCAACTAACACAACAGACATAATATGACTGACAGCTGTCACTTCATCTGCTTTCATCTGGCTGTATTCTCATGGGAATAAAATATATATAGAAAAAGACTCCAAATGTGTTCCTGATCACATGGTGTCTCTATATTTTCATTTGACTACCTAAATACAACACATTAAATGTCGCAAAACCAGTTCCTGTCCGTTTGTGTAGTTGCATCTGATCTGCAGATATGAAGTACTGGATACATTTAACATTTATATACATTTTTAGCTTAATTCATTCAAACATTCTGAAAGTCTTACAGGAGAAAGATGAAATGGTTCAAAAGCAATGGTGAAAATGATGCTGCAACACAATAGAGGTTACATTATACTGAAAATCAAAAGAGAGAAAAGGTGTTGAGAATAAAGCAAGCCACATAAATAATACAAATATGAAACCTTTTCAAATACATAAGATCTGTAATGCTTTTCATTTAATCTTCTTCTGTATTTCATAACAATTACACTTTGTAAGCAGGTCACACAATAAATTGTATTCGCTGTCAAGGTAGCGCTACACAACCAATTATGCACTCCAACCTTAGGTGCTGTTTCTTTTATAAACATCAGGCTTTCTTTGCTGGTGAATTAATTGATTTTGCTTCCACAGCTCTGAGCAACATTATCTTGTATTTTGACAGTGAAATCTTCTTCATATGTCCTTATTCTTTTCTCGTTTGAACGCTTGAAATTGGATAATCTGAGACCGGCAGTTTAGTCAGGAGTGTGCTAAAATAATATTGCAACTTTCCACAGTTATAACATGCGTCAAGCTTTTCTTTTTTGGGCTTCCAAAACCAATTCCTTATCCCTGGTTCAAGGTGCGGTTGATCAAAAAAAATATCTTAGATTCCCAGAAAGACACATTCCTCTATGAGTTCATGAATTGTTAGTGAGACCTTCTGTACTCTGGGCTTCTCAAGTTCACTTTAAGTATAAGAAAACTTGTTGTAGACACGACTGCGTACATGTCTGCCGTTTATAATTCAGCATTCTGTACGGCACTCCTTGCCTCCTTATCTGAGGCTGATTATAAGATGTCTCCTTAGTGAACAGGTTTTATTGGGGGTAGATTTGTTGGGCAGGAGTACTCGGCCGTACAAGCGACCTGTTATGATAATTAGCATAAAGCCTGCAGGTCTGTTAAACACTGATAATGTCAGGAGGATTGATGGGCTGTGTAGTACCAGGATGAGCAGGAGATGGAGAAAGGGAGGAGAGGAGGGGAGGAAGGGCGACAAGGGATCTAAAAGGGCAGATGAAGGAAAGACGGATTAGGTGTCAATGGTGTAAGAAGTACTCAGGTCATATACTTTAGTAAAAGTCGCAAAACTATGTTGTTAAAATACCCTGTTACATGTAGAAGTCCTGCTTTGAAAATGTTACACAAGTACTGTCAGCAAAATGTACTTAAAGGGGTCCTTTTATGCCCCCTGTAGTGTATTTTATAGGTGAATGTAAATGAACTGCAAAGGCAACAATGCAAAAGTTCACAGCAGATGGAGTTTCTCTCCCACACACTCTCCCCCTCCTCTGCCTGAAACGCCTCCATTGGACTCCTTTGTTTAGTTTTGTAACATAATGACATCACTATGTAGCACTCCCTGTATTAGCTAGCTCTAACACATTGCACATGATACGCTAAGGGGCGGGACATCTCTAAGCGGTTGACTAATCGCAACAGAGCTGGCCAGCTAACCAATCAGAGCAGACTGGGCTCTGGTTTCAGACAGGGTGAAAAGAGGTGCTGCAGGCAGTATGAGAAAAATAAAGAGCTTTTTGAACATTGAAGCATGGAACATGTTTCAGTAGAGACACACAATTCAAATGTGAACTGAAAATTAGCATTAAAGGGCTCCTTTAAATAAATAGTGGAGTAAAAGTACAATATTTCCTCCAAAATGTTGAAGAGTAGAATTATATGAAGCATGAAATAGAAATACTCAAGTAAAGTACTGGTATGTCAAAATAGTACTTAAATACAATACTTGAGTAAATGTACTTTATTACATTCCACTTCTGCTAGGTGTAAAAACAAAATAGGTTGATTTGTGTAGGATTTGTGAAGATGTCTAGTTTTCCACGTTGTTAAACACATCTTATCACTGTAATCTTTTGAGGCGTACCTGTGTGTTCCTTCAGTGTGTCACCCCCCCACCTTGGCAGATTTTCTGAGATCTGGCCCTTCACAGCCGCAGACATGCCTGTCATGTATTGACGGGGGAGAGACACAGCTTTTTGATAAATTGCATGATGCTCCAGCTCGCCTGTGTCTGTCAGAATACATCAATCGCCCGGCTAACCCATCAGTTCAGGGTACCTCGGTTTGTTGCCTGCCCCCCCGCCACCTCACCTCCCACACCACTCCACCTCCCTTTTGCCTGCTGCGGGAATAAAAGCATTTAGCCATGCTTGAGAAGCCTTTTCATCTCAGCATGTGCTGGGCTCTATTACATTGAGATGGCCATAACAGAATGGTTTAAAGGCAACATTGAGACATTAGATACACTGCTATTATGCGTATATAGCTGCAGGCTGACTGCTCAACACATGAATCTGAAGCAGATGAGGGGTGGGATGCAGAAGAAGTGGAGAGAACACAAAACATAGAGTGATTACAGTCGAGATGCAGCTCTTTTCTGAAGTTTCAGACTTCCCCCTGTTTTATACTATTTTGATTCAATCTTTTTGGACCCTACGTACATAATGCTGTTCAACCGGGCACAGACCCAAGGGCTCAGAGTGTCCGACGCCCCCTATTACAAACTAGGAAGAGACTCAGAATGAACAAAAAGAAACAATAAACAAAGAGACGCAAACAAATGCAAAGAGACACAAAAAGACAAAAAAAACAAATTGTACAACAAAAAATTGAAACCTTAAAGAGATGCTAATGGCTAAAGAGACACAAAAAAACAACTTAATTGGACAACTATGAAATCTATGCGTCTCGCTCCTATGGAGGCATGGGGGGGTCTGTTGCATGTCGGTTCCCAGGGGCCATCTACCCACTCAGCTAAACTTCAGCATGTTAGCATTGTCAGTGTTAGCGTGCTGTGATACACACTCTCAGCTGCTGGCCTTCCTTTAGGCTCCTGTCATATTAAATATTTTTCCAGCCACATCTTTGTACTAGTATTCTTCATAGATATCAAATGGAAATATCTGTATTGTGCATACACGTGATTAACATTACATTATGAAAGCCTTAGAGGAGCATTTGCTATCAAGACAAGTAAAAGCTTTTCACCTCTTGTTTCTGGTCAACGATAGTGGGTGGGTTTGAGTTTCTTTCTCCTACATAAAATACATTTTGGCAGTAAAACTCCGAATTGCTCTAACCTCTATTGATCGATAACATACCTTGCTTAAGGGTAAAACTCATAGCAATGCTGCTCCTTCAAAGATTTACATTTCTGCGTTGGAAGGGGCCCTAACTTACAAGCTCACAAACTTTTATACACACAGTAAATTATTGCACTTATTGACATTTCCATCTACTTTGACCATATTTTTCATAAAGTATTGTTGGTGTATCATAAATCAACTCTCCTCTGTATGGGGGAAATGCTAGCATACATTATTAAAGCACAAAAGGCAGTGCAATGAAGGTCAAGGAGGCCATTGGTATAAAAGCTAGTGTCTAACCTTTATTACTGCTAACAGCAAGATCCTTTACTCAGACCTCTGTGACTCATAGAAATGTTATTTACAGCAATTCTTTACAGTCAAGTACGCTTGACTTCACTCATGAAGCAGGCAAAACTGCTAACTAAAGCCAATATAGTGATACATAACATATTTATATACTTAAGAGGTGAAATTCGATAACATTCAGAGATCAGATGTTTTATTTAAGATTAAATTAGCTCACGTCTGAAATGAATAGATTGTTGAGGCTCACTCAGAGTCTAAACTCACACTTTACAACCTGTGTGACTGTTTTTATAAATTGTATTTTTACTATTGTATACAAATAAACTGTTCTATTTTTGATAATTGAACCACGTCTCTTGTTCCATGAGTAACCGAACCTGTGTGTCCTAGTGACTTAAAACTTGTCACATTTCCCTGGGTGAAATTCCCGGGGTGGCGTTGTCGGACTTAGTGGTTTAACCAAACTGTTAAATTAATATATTTATTCTGCGGCCACTGCTACAAACTGCATTGCATGATTTTCTCCCGACATGAATTCCTTATGACCATGAATGAAAAGCTGTTATAATGTTTTCTTAAAGAGCACCTTGGTCTTTCTTTGGCATTTAAGCGGCAACTGTAAACCACAAGAAGTCCCAAAAAAGGTCCTCCGATATTTCAACATCACATACATTACACCAGCCTGCGTTTACCTCAAACTGCTTAGTTCATTAAGATTAAAATGAGCATACAAACCTTGACAACAAAGTACAGCTGGGTTTATATCCCACTGCTCACACACATCCTCATAGCTTTATAGTTCTGAAATACAAACAGGTCTGATGGAGGCAATAACAAGAGGACCTGTGAACCGTCTGACCTCATTATGCCAGCAGGAGGCGAGTTGCTCTTCCTTCTTCTCGTGCCGTATGACTCCCCCTCTCTCTCTCATTCTGCCCACTAACAAGCTGCCTCTTTGTGAGATGGGGTGAAGCCGATTGACCAGTCTTACCCATCTCTGCACTTACATGGGAACTAATTTTCAGTACAGAGTAATACAAAATGAGGGCACATGTTGGATGAAAACAAAGGCAATTTGATTGTGTTTGAATGATTTATTTGCATTGTGGAGCTTTAATTGGGATTAGTACGACTATAGTCAAGGCTGTGCTGATAGCTCTCGTCCTATTGAGTTCAGTTCAATTGTAATATAGCCTATTCTAGATGTGTATCAGTTGTTACAAGCTGGCTCTGCTTGCAACAAGATATTGGCTATATGTTTGTGTGTGTGTGTGTGTGTGTGTGTGTGTGTGTGTGTGTGTGTGTGTGTGTGTGTGTGTGTGTGTGTGTGTGTGTGTGTGTGTGTGTGTGTGTGTGTGTGTGTGTGTGTGTGTGTGTGGTGGTAATCCGGCAGCTGCTCCAGCCTCAAGAGAGCCAGAGACAGAGGAGTGAGGGAAATGAAAGTGGAGGGATGATAGCGGAGGGGCGCCCTCAGAGAGCCTGGGATCATTGATGGGGCTCTCTGGAGAAGAGAACAAACAAACTTTAAATCAGAAAGGATGAGAGGGGCCATGGCCTGCAGAATGGAACCCTACAGTGTGTGTGTTATTGTCACTATGTGTGTGTGTGTGTGTGTTGGTGTCTGCCTGCAAAGCTCATTCAGCTGAGCGTGAAAAGTTTTGGAGTCTGGGTAAAGTCACGTACATAAACGAAATCTGGGTTTATGGTACAGTATAACTAAGGTTTTTCCAGCGCTGTAAACAGGCTTATAGCTAGGTAGTAATGTCGCCAGCAGGGTTTGCTGTGCTCGCGGGGAAACGCTGCCAGAGACTCTCAGGAGTGCACAACAAGCTCTGAGAGGCAAGATAAGGAGGCTGGAATCTGTATTAGATTTACTAAACATTTTCCCCTGCTTTTGTTGTCGGCGTATTTTCTGCTTCAGGTGGCCTCAAAAACTCTCCTTCTAAGAGGTACATGGATTCTTAGTAAAATATTAGAATACACATTGTACACACTTCCAAACACATAAGCCTTTCACACATCATCTTCCTATTATCATCAGGCGGTTGAGTCTGAACAAGAATAGGTGATGTTAAGATATAAAAGGCTACGTGTGTGAGAAAGCATGTTGTGTCAGTAACATCACACACACATAAACACACATTTTGCTACAGCTTTGGTTTAGTGTTAACCTTAATATGAGCGCGCCCGGCTTCTGTCCCATTACTGTCAAGAGAGTTTTATTATTAACCAGACCAAAGTCCCCGGGGAAGTGTGAAGGTAATCACGGGAGATTAGATATTATTTATGTGTTGGAGGTGTCAGATGAAAAGCAATTATCCTCATATAAATTATAGCTTTCAGGATTACATCGACAAAAACAGAGAAGAACACACACACAGATAAAATGTAAAATGTGTCGCACATGTGCATTTATTACGTACACATCTATATACGATGGCCAGAACCCATAAAGATGAAAGTGTATCCTACCAGTGGGAAGACTCATACAATGTTTATGTCTGTTCTTTACTTAGATCAAGTGGTGGTGTTATGTCTGAAAGGAGTCAAAATAAGTGATTATTTTTTCAACAGCTCCCCCCACTCTGCACACAATGTCTAAGTTAATGAGGGCACTGCTCTGAGCATAAAAGCTAAGTATTACTAAAAAGTGTTTACTTATGAATCAAAGAGTGTGAGACTGGAATAAATTGAAGAGTTTATACGAAAGTAAATAATTCAGCGGATTTGCCTAATCCTCAGAGAAGCCGCTGCGGTGTACGTTTGATTGTTATTTTGCGGCGCACATTTAGATGAATTCAAATTAGATTTTTCACAGCAACAAACACCAATAAGGCACCATAAAAGCCTATGCATTTCCAGCAAATAACCCCCCCTCACCTCTCTTTTTTCTTTTTCTCTCTCAGTCTCATACCAGGTGAAGCAGGGGACGTGTGAGGTGGTGGCCCTCCATCGCTGCTGTAATAAGAATAAGATTGAGGAGCGCTCTCAAACCGTCAAGTGTTCCTGTTTCCCCGGACAGGTCGCCGGCACCACCAGAGCCAGACCCTCCTGTGTGGAAGGTAAAATATCCAAAGCCTTGTTTCTGTGTGTGTTGTGTGTAAATGTGTATCTTTATAACCCCCCCCCCCCCCCAAATGAAAACTCTACAATAGACAAATCAATTTAAAAACCGAACTATATGGGGCGAAGCCTGCGAGCTAGTTCAGACAGTCAACTCGAGCACCAATGATACATTAACACGTGACGCACCTCGTCCCTCTTACAACCAACCAAACACTTTCTCCTAAACATGGCGCTCTATTTAAGTTGCCAGGTCTTCCTGCCTCTGCCTCGCTATGCTGCCACTGCTGTGTTCACTTGCTATTGCTACGTTCATGTTCCTGCTGCTGTGTTTCATGTTGCTGCTGTATACTTGCCTGCCCCACCACCACGCCAGCTCCACCCCAGCTTCCACCTGTAGGCCCGGGGGATCATTATCTAATCATCACTCAATGTTCTTTGTAAATCTGTGGAGTGATGAGGCCCGAGCCTAGACGCCAAACTCAAACTATATGCTGCTTCTAATAAACATATTAAGAACACGTGAGTTGTCCGACTGAAATACACATAGGTTATATAAAGTGTACAGATGTCTTTAGTATTCCATGTGAACATGTTTCAATTGGGGGGTGGACCTCACATCCTCTATGGGGGTCAGGGGGCATGCTCACATGCTTCAATGTGGTACACTTTGAGGGCAAAATGAAGAGACTAGATCTATGGGGTACAACCATAGACTAAATATATAAGGGTACAACCCTCAAAACCCATAAGAAGAAGATCTGTATAAAATAGGCATAGGCAATACAAAATAGATGTAACTTGTTTATTTTATTTTTGCTTTTTGTTGAAGGAACAAGGAAAACAACATGTATTTGTCCCGTAGGGCAAAAATTAGCAAATGGGTCATTGTGGTAGGAGATATTAAAAAGCACAGTTTTAAAGAAAGTGCTTTAGAGGGAAAGCCAAATATCATAACATCATTATGCTGTAATGGATGTTAAAAATGTTAAAGTCCAAAACGTCCTTAGTGAGCACAAGGGTTAAAGATATCTGGCCTCTAAGTCAGGAAAATATTCAAAGGCATAATGTTTTCCTTATGACTGAACCATTACATCAAAGAGAGTGTTATATTACACACATTTTCCCACAATCCTTGAGCTTTTCTAATTATCTGAACCTGACTGGAATTCCAGAAAATGCTTTGTATGTGTTGGACTTCATCGCTCCGCTCCACAACATGTTTTAGTAACGATCGACGCACGGCTGAGTCCGACCGGGTCAGAGAGGCTAACAATGTTTTTAATTATCTTGCATCATTAAATTTGCTACAAGAATCATCTCAACTGAAACAAATCATTACCCGATTCAGGGCGACATCAGTAAATGAGTCGGTTGCAGGAAAGATGAATAGGTTGCACTTTATTTTAAATTGCTGCCAGGTTACATTCCTGTGTGGAAATGGATTTTCTGGTGGCACGAAACAGGAGGACAGTGCTCTTGTTCTGGTACAAACAAAGCTACACCGTTTATAGACGGTTGAAAACATGTGCTGATGAAAAAATGACATTTGGCCTTTCTATCCTTCTTAGCAAAGCCTCACAGTACAGAAACCCACAGTGGGAAGATGAACAAATATCAAAAGGAAGGAACAATAACATGTTGTTTTGCACAGTTTTTACTTTGAGACCAAGAACACACGTCCACCATGGATGCTGCTTTATGGTAATCCTACTATTAAGCAGAGGTGGGAAGTAGTGGAGTACAAATACTTTGTTACTGTACTTAAGTACATTTTTCTGGTATCAGTACTCAGTACTCCACAAATTATTTTTTGCCGACTTTTTATTTTTTCTTCTTAAATTTTTAACACAAATACCTGTACTTTCTACTTCTTCCAAACAGGCTGGTTCCTTTAGTTTGAATGTGTGTTTGGTGGCGTGATCATTATTAGTCATTGCGTGCCTATTGATTTGAACACGATCCGTGTATCCATCATTTCCTGGTCTTCTCTAAAGAAGAGGGACCAATGAAAACGTCAGGACTTCTACTTTTACCAGAATATTTTTAAACACGAGTATCTGTACTTCTACTTGAGTAAAGGATGTGTGTACTTTTGCCATCTCTGCTATTAAGTCCCAGGTAATTAAAAGACTGTTTTAATATGCATTGACCATTTGGAAAGGGGTTTAAAAGCATGTTTTTGAGATTAAGTTAACCTGTATATGCCCTTCTAGTCCAATATTTCGTCATCTTGTCTCAAGGAGATCATGTGACATGAAAGGTTGAAGCCACTAATGCAAGTAATGGAAGCCTAGCCACCAGTGTCTCCTTGCCTCCTATTCCCTAGTGTTGTATGAAAGCAGAAGCACATATACGACAGCTGTCACCTAAAACTGCCTCACCTTTAAGACGGGAAATTTAAACTGCATTTTAAAGGCCTGATTTTATTTGGGACAGCATTCCATTTCATATCTAGACGGGTCGCTTGGGTATACGACAGATGGTGATAGAGGAAGCATTTTCTTCTGATCTCTTTTATATGTCAGGATATAAGAAGACATTGGCGCCAGGAAGATGAGCGTCTGCTTTGTGGAAACTAATCTCCATCCAAATAAACAAGATCAACAAGATCAAAGAACATAATAAGCAATGCTGGATATTTGGGGCTATGACTAAAGTAAAAAGTAGTGATTCTACAGTGTAAAAAAGTCAAGAAAAAGTAGAAAGGTATTACCATTCAAAATATATAGTTATATTACACCAGCTACTTTACCTCTAGCTGCAGTGCACACTTTATTTTGTTAAATTTACTTTGAGGCAGCAACGTTAAATTAGCCCTCTTTATGGGAATATTAAATATGTATTAACTTTTCTATAACTGTGCTTCCCCTAAAAAGCTTACCTTGATTTATATTAATTTCAACTTTCATTTAATTAAATGTGTTTCCAGCTTATGTCCTGTTCAAAACCACACGACTAAATATTCTTTAGTATTCATATTTTTTAACAAATGCAAGTTTCTTTAATGGAAAAACACAATAATGGATATCTTTTTTTTAATACTTAATGCTAGAGGATACTTTTTGTTACAGTTTTGGATGGGTCAATGATTAGCAACCACACTATTTTGATTTGTTTCTTCTTTTTGTGCAAGGAACCACAAATATATGTTTACATCTTTGAATATTTTATATACAGTTGGTTAACTAGGCCTATAAAATGACATCATAATATATTGGTTAATCTGACATTGTACATGAAACATCTAATAATAACACCACCTAATGCTGTCAATTGAATGTTGTGGAATAAAAAGTACAACATCTCCTTCTGTAAAGGATTAGAAGTATACATTTGCAAATACATGTACCTTTAAGTAGTACTAAAGTACAACAGTTGAGTAAATCCTCATTCCATTGGTTTTGGAGAAAAAACGAATGCTCATCATAACATCAAATCATTATGTCGTACAATAAATAATGACTAAATACAGATAATATATTTGGTACAGAAAAACAAACACGTTATCAGTGAATTCTGCTCACACATACACAGTAAATGTATATTTGTATGCGTGTGTTTGTATCTGTTCATGCTGTGTGTGAGTGTAGTGATGATAGACCGGTGAAAGCTGCGGGTTGTTTTCAGAAACCTTTGTTCCGTCTGTTTGACCGCTCTGCGAGCTCCTGCCCAGAGAGAAGCGAGCCGTGTCACTGACCCCTATCATCTACAGACGCTCTGGAGACACACACACACACACACACACACACACCACACACACACACACACACACACACACACACACACACACACACACACACACACAACACACACACACACACACCACACACACACACACACACACACACACACACCACACACACACACACACACACACACACACACACACACACACACACACACACACACACACACACACACACACACACACACACTATAATAGCCCCCTACCAAAGTCTCATACGAGCAGAGCCTGTGAATCTCTGAAGCAAACGGGTTCTTCAAACTGTGCAGGTCAGCCGCCGGGGGTCCGACACAGAATCTAGACTCACACAGAGCTGAATGTCTGATAGGACCACACAAAAAGAGGATTTGATACGATGTCTGGACAAAAGGTGGAGTTATGTGCTTTCTCAAACGTTTTTGAACTCAGATTTGCAGTTTTTCGTTTGTTTATTTATCGTAACAGCACATTATCATGCTAATGCTGCAAATGAGTGTTATGGTAATTATCCAAAGCAAAATATAGAAGACAAAAACACACCTTACCTTTCTGCGCTAGCTTTAATGGTTCATTTAACTGACAAACAAGCATTTTTAGATGTTTTGGATATTTAGCGTAATTGTGATGTTGCGATAATTCCTCATAAATGTAGGGCAAAAGTCGTGAGGTATCAAACTGAATAATAGAAACATTGAATATGTTTTTTGTGTTTTTTCCCCACTAGTACCAAGTAAATTGGGTACTCAACCATTTTTAATTCATTTGCACTCTAGACTACACACTTAGTTTTAGTAGTGACTCATTTTATTCCCTTCAGTTGAAACAAGCAATCTTATATGTTTCTATCAGTATGAATCACGCCTGACTTCCTGTGCTGCAGGCATGTACTTCAAGAGTCCAAACACTTCTCATATTTAGTATCACATCTGTCCGTACAGCACTTTCTATCCCTGTGTGTTGCTATTCCTGCGTGCGGCCAGCAGACGGTGCTTTTCCCATTCAAATGACTCCGTCACAAACAAACCTTCCACATCATTTCAGCACTATTTTCCCTCAATAAAAAGTAGATTTGTTGTTTAACCTCTTTGATGAGTTACTAGATGGGAACAATTGCTTGATAATGATGAAATCAGGCAACCATAGCAAAGATGATTGGCTTTGTAATGAAAGCTAGGATAAATAAGGAATCATGTGAAGCCCTGCTAACCTCTCACAATAGGCATTGCCCCAATGCTCTGCTTTTGTTTGTTCACTTCTCCTTAAAGACGTGGT